TCGCTGGGGACTCCCTTGCCAGCCTTGTTGGGGACTCCCCCGCCGGCCCAACCTGGCGCTCCCTGGCCGGGCTCTCCCTTGCCAGCCTTGCTGGGGACTCCCTTGCCAGCCTCGCTAGGGATTCTCCTGGTGCTCCCTTACCAGCCTTTCCTGCTGCGCGCCCACCAGCCTTGCCTAGTGCGCGCTCGCCAGCCCCGACCGGTGCCTCCGGGGGGCCTCGCCCAGCTCCTTGCTAGCTGGGCCTGAATTGGGCTGGCCCAAGGCCTGACCTAATTCCCCTTGACCTAATTGTCCCCTATATAATGAATAGTATCTCCTCCATGGAGAGGGATCCTTCCCTGAGGGCTCAGCCGTCCCCTAGACTCCGGCCGGGTGGCTCAGCCGCCACCCTCCGCCGTCAACCACCATACACCACCAGCACCAAGATGGTTCTCTCTAGCTAAAGAGAACCATCTCAGATCTACCAGATGATCTAACTTGACCGTCGGAGCCCGCTCCCGGGGCACAGTCCCTGGGGCGACTCTAACGGCCTTGTCTGTTGTGACCTCGCATATCTATCCACTCTAGCTGCCATCAAGAGAAGAGAAGAGAGGCTCAGAGGTGGTTTAGATCCAGGTCGCATCATTTGGCGCCATCCCGGACTTGAACGAGTAGCCACCATCTCAGTTGGTCTTAAGCTCGTTCTTGCCCAGATCTGAACAGATCTGATGTGCTTCCACCTAAGGTTTGTTCAGATCTATTAATTTCTACATTCCTTAGTTCAGATCTGTTTGGGTTTTGCCAAGACCTGTTCAGACCCATTTGGTCTTTACCAAGATCTTTTCAGATTTGTTTTGCCATATTTTAGATGCCAATATCTACTCCGTTTTCTGATCAGATCTTAGATATGTTTTCGTTTTTCAGTTTAGATCTCCAAATTTGTTTTTGTTTTTAGGATCTGATCTCAAGATTTGTTTAAGTTTTTAGCTCATCTGAGCATACATGAAGCTTCAAAAAGATATCTTGGATCTACTCTAGTTTACACTTTGGTTGTTTTTCAGTAACTTGAGGGAGGAGAAAAAGAAATTGTTATAAGTTTTTATTCCTTTTATGAAGTTCATAATACCAAAAAATCGGTTTTTAGTTAAGATTTTTTGTGTATCACCTCACTCCCTGCAACACTTGTTTGTAAACAAAGCTGTAACACTCGTATATTTTCAAAACAAAAAATTTCGAGTTCTTACTCATATTTGTTCATATTTGTGGTGTTTTCCACCTAAGTTTAAAGAAAGAAAACGGAAAATTTCCAAATCTGTTCTTGTTCATATTTTGAAAGCTTGTTGAACAAGCTGGAAAGAGAAAAAAAATTTATGAGAAGAAAACTCTACCACATCCCTTTTTGTTTACACTCTTGGAGTTTTCTGGGGTTTTTTCAAAAGTTTGAGGGGGCAAGAAGCTTGTGTAGGGCTGGGATGCCTTTACATTTACCAAGTTGTTTAGTTGGTATTTTCTTTAAACTTTGGGAATGCACAAAAAAAAATGAAGAAGTTTTTATGGGTTTTTACCCATCTTAGTTAATATATTTTCAGAAAATCTTATCTAATTTATGATTTTCCATATACAAGTTTGTTTAAGTTGTACAGACTATAGTTATTCTTGTACATATAAAAACCAAACAGACTATATTTTTGATCACCACTTTAGTTTTACCCTTACAATTTACCATTCAAAGCTATAGAAAAGTGGTGATAAATGTTTCTTTTGAGCCAACAAAAAATAAAAAGAAAGGGAAATGTATATTAATTTTCGTATGCTTTCCACCGATTAGTTATTTTCAACCCATTTTAGAGTTACTCCAACATTTTAGTTATCATTTCAGTAAATGGTTTTTCAAAAAAAAAAAAAAAATCGAGTTCTTAACTCACCTTTGTTCATATTTTTTTTAGTGTTCTCTTTAGAAGTTTAAAAAAAGAAAACAAAAAATTTCTTCAGATCTGTTTCTTGGTCTATGTTTTGATGGCTTGTTAAGCTGAAAAGAAAAGAAATCAGATGCACTTTTATTTATATTTTAGGGTTTTTCAGCAAAATTTGAGAAGAAAAGAAACTTCATGGGTTTTTACCTCACTTTCAGTTCATATATTTTTTAGAAAACTCTCTCTTTAGTTCGGGATTTTATGTTTACAAGTCTATTAAAACTATATAGAAGTTTGGAGGAAGAAATAAGTTTGTATGAGTTTTTACCTTTTCCTTCTTTCACGTATTATCAGAAAATCAATTCTAGTTGAGGCTTCTATAAGTAATACTATTTCTTTTAAAAAAAAATTGTTTGTAAGCAATGCTCTGTTGCTTGTACATCTCATATAAAATCCAATAAAATCCTCTCAGATGGCGATTTACAGCTTTGAAGGAATTGTTTGTAAACAGTGATGTGTTACTTGTACATTCCAAAAAAACTCCAAAAAATCTCAATCAATCTGTTGATATTTACCTATTTTACCAATATATCCGTTACCTTTTACCATACTCGAAAATTACACCCTATGCTACCACTTTTACAGTTTACAGCTCATTATGCCAATAAATTGTTTAGAAAATTAAATAGAAAAAAAAAAAAAAAACAATCACGAGAATAGTGATCTGTCCACAAAGACGTATATATATATATATATATATATATATAAAAAGTTATTACTACAAGTATGGGTATTTGTGTCTCACCACAGCAAAAAAAAAAAAAGGGGGAGAGAAGATGGTCAACACCTACACCTACATACTGGCTATAAAAGCAACATTACTGTCTATAAAGCAACATCAGGAGGGTCCCACGCATTTTGAAAGACATTTTCAGTGGACCCACCTGGTCCCCATGGTCATCATCGAAAGTCAAAGGAGGACTCGGATCCCACCATGTTACCTTCTCCGGTTAAAGCTAGACGACTGTTCCTTCAAACCCCAACTCCAACTCACCTCAGGACCCAACAACCGTCGACCTTTCCTGGATATCCAGCAGGGTCTCCGATAGACCAGCTCCGGCAGCAGTTCGCTGTCACAACCACCATTCTCCTACAGCAAAGCCTTCTTTTACTGGTTGCCAGAACCAGCAACCCAACAGATGGATGGAAAATTGATCTAACCTCCGGCCGGAAATCGCGATTACTCTTCCAACCTCCTTCTCTGGTCAACGAATCTCATTAGAAGATCGCCTACATCTGCAAAACATCTCCGATTGATAAACATACCTGGCACCCCCATTCCATCCGCCAGATTAACTCTCAACAGCAGCAGCTCGTTGGTGCCACCACGTTTCTTCCAACAAAGCACCACAACGAACCACCGACAAGCAAGCCAGCCACTACAACCAGTAACACAACAGAATTAGATAGAACCGTTCACTCCTAACCACTGGTAGCGATCGTCGATTCCTGTTTACTCGATCAGTCATCTCCAACTGGAATTAAAGCTCCACCAGTTCACTGGAGAAACCCAGTTCCTGAGCAAACCACCCGCAACTCATTCGCCCGCTACACAAGTGACCCAGCAACCTCCGGAAACAACAACACATTCAAGAGATAATGCAGTAAGGTGGCTACACCAGTTCCTCCCAACGCAAACGGAACCCGGGCATCACCAGTCGCCATCACGACCACCGAAGCCCATCAATCGTTTCCAAGCCCCAACGAAGCATCTCCAAAGGCGACTGCCCACTACTTCTTCACTGTCGTCGACCCATCAGTCCGACGTCACCGAATAGCCCCACTCCGATTCTCTACTCTACAGGCTACGAACTCCGGAGTATACCCACCAAGTCATCGCCATTGAAGAACTCCAAATATCCAGTTGGCTATGTTGTTCCTTAGGGCGTTTTATATGACAAATCGTGAGAATGAGGAGAGGCGCGGCTGAAATCACTACCCATCGACTTCAGGCAATAATGGCTCAAGAGCCAATCATCATCACCACCGCCTCATCTCACTGGTTGACTATTGTTACTCCATCACCAATGACAACGATTCCAACACCAATAATCTTTTAGCACCATCACCTGATCACCACCATTTCCTTCACCATAGCGGAACCATAGCACCACCGGTCCACTTGCAGTCGCCAACCGACACATCAACACCACCGCCAGTCGTCTCAGTCAACCACACCCCCAGTCGTCGGCTGTTGTACCTTCGCCGCTGTGAACTCCGAGCCACCAGACGACCTCGAATCGTCAATCGTTTTAGCATCAACGGCCCCCAGACACAGCGTTTCCGGCGACCTCGCTGCTGCGATCTCCAGCAAGGAACACAAAGCCATAGCCTCCTGTCACAAGAGAATTGAGACCCTGATCATCCGCTGCACGCTACGAATTCCGACGAGAAACACAAAAACAAAAAATCATGACCGAAAACTTCAGATGTGTAGTCGTTGGTGTTTTCCTTTGGTTTCCTACGATGACGGATCGTGTGGGTAAAGGGATGCTTTTGTTTTCTCCTAAATTGAAATAAAATAAGTGCAGCTTATCTTACACAGTTTCCTGATAGAAAGTTCAAAAAGTTTGCAGACATAACTCCGATCCGAGAGCTTTTATTTGTCGTACCCTCTAGCAACTTAGGGCTTCGCTGAAATATTCCTTAAAATCTAGAGAATTTAAGACTAACGGCGTGTTCAGCAAAACTAGCTGGTAACGGGTAGCTTGTAGCGTTTTGTTAAACGCTACATAAAGTAGCATTTGGATTTTGAGCGTTTTGTTTAAACTAAACGCTAGAAGCTTATAGTGCCAAACGACACTTTCTGTTCAAAATGGAGCGTTTTGTCAAACGCTAGAAACTAAAAAGTTTGAAGCTCTCAAACGCTACCAAACGCTATGTGCCGAACATGACCAGTGGAGAATTTCCAGAGAATTGTCATAAATATATTCACAAAAAACATTTACATAATAAAAAAAATTAACTCTGCTATTTAGTATTTATAAACTTAACTTTTTAGTTTATTATTATTGAAGGTTTATGATATTAAGCCTAATAAAAGTCAAAAGTCCCAAATTTTTTATTCATTTAGAGTCTCACGTTTAGCCGCCTAGATTAATAGGATCAAATTGTTTGCTACTAACTTGAGACATAAGCAAAATCGCACCAATTACTACTATTGCATCGAATGAAATTACAAACATAAACTTTGCAGCCAGTTTTTCAATCTCAATCAAGCTTTACAAGAAATTAGTCAACACTAAGTCGACTCCAAGATTCGCCTAAAGTGATGCTCCTTTGAGCTTCCACCAGACAATTAAGAAGCTAGCATAGCTATCTAGCGCCACCCCTTTCTTGAACACACCCTTCTGTTGCTCCTCCCCTTCCCTCTCTCCTCAAACCTTCCCGGTGGCAACCCGCCTGTCTTCAAACACCCACAAACAAAACACCATTCATTGTTAGATTCATTAACACATCAAATTCAAGATTTGAACTATAAAAAACCAAGAATAGTGTACACCAACCCCTATGCAAAATCCTTCAAACTGAGCATCTTCAACCTTGGTATTTGACATCTCTGAGGAAACCTCGCTTGTTAGAAGTCAAACTTTCACCACAACTTGAAAACAAAGATGAATGAGAAGTCGCACTTCCTGATTGAGAAGAAGAGCTAAGTGATTCAATATCACTTTCAAACATCTCCTCAAACAAATCCTTTAGTTCCTGAAAAGCCTCCTCCCCATTTTCCTGTTTTACACCATAAACTAATTTCAAATTTTGTATTTTTTTTTTTCAAATCAAGATTTTGACAAAAGAACGTCACTTTCAATCTTTCATATCAAGAGGGTTTACTAGAAGAATACAGGCTCACCCTCTTGGACCACAATATATTCGTTTTACAAATTAAGTTGATTTAACATAACAGGCAAGAGACATGAATAGTTTGAGTTAACATCAAGAAGGGCCTACCATACTATAATGGCTAAAAGGTATACACCAACCACTTCCCTTTAAGGGGCTGCCAAAACTAAGATTCCAATGAACCAAAAGTTTGGAGTTTTTGGACCAATTTACCCTCACCTTCCATCTTTATATTAAGTTTGGACAACTAATTAAGGACCATTTTATCATCACTAAAGTGTGGGAAGCTTATTCCACCATTAATTTTGGTTCCAAAAAGGTTCAATTGTAAAAGTGGTAGAAAAAAGTAAACTTACCGCAGGTTTGTTTTGACTCATCATCACTGCCATTTCGCTCAAGAAATCAGCCATCCCCTGTTTCCAGTTTCATTTATGAGTATAAGTTTGATTGGGTCATAAAACTACAATCTTGATTCTTATGGCCAATTTCAAGATTAGGAAATGTAACTCGAATGAAAAGTTTCTTGCATCAAATGTTTTGAGATCCAATCATAATTCTTCTCATTAAACAATTCTTTCTTTTGTATAGTGGCCCAGTTTCAGGTAAAAAGTTAAAGGAACATTGTGTATGAATTGTTTCCAACGAGGAACTTACATTTTCGTCATCATCACTATCATAAACTCCTACATCGTACATGAATCTTTTGTTGGCATTTGAAAGCACTATGAAACAGAAAAATATGAGGGAAGTCAGTCAACAACTTAGGAAACTCAATTATAAAAACCTCAAAAAGAATCCATCTTTGTTAAGTACAAACATCTTTACATAATCCAAATCGAACTCTAACATCATGAGCAAAATGAGTACATATGGAATTTACCAGAATAGGCTTCTTGTATATCCTGGAACTTCTTCTTTGCCTCTTCCACGTGCTTGGAATCACCAAACGCCGAACAACGATCTGGATGCCACCTCTGTAAAAAAAAAAAAACACATAATTTAAGAATACAAACTATTCAAGTAAAAGATTTATTTGAGAAAATATATCGAAAATAAAAGTTCTAACCAGTGCAAGCTTCTTGTAAGCGTTCTTGAGCTCTGCTTCAGTGCATCCCTTCTCTAATCCCAAAACTTGATAAAAATCACTACTTTTTACACCATTTTCACCCATTTTAAAAATCAATACAAAGATACAGAATTCAATCGTTTGGCTTCTTGAAATAACAGAGAGCTGTTATAGGCTGCTGAGCATCTTTGACCGAGTAAAACACGGAAACAATGGAAAGTTTATGTGGGGATAAAGAGCAGACGAAATGAGTCAGCGTCAACCAACCCACCACCCATGAATGGTATGTACGCTGAATGTCGCAAGAACACTCGAGAAAGAAGCTATAAATATATATGTCAAGTTGCAGAAGAGAAGAGTGTACATAAAGGTTGCAATTTGTGTAGGATTAGGGCTGTTGGATTGGAATAGATCAACGGTTTGCGTTGATTTCGGGGGTTTAGATATTTTTGGGGTGTAATTGCGTGGGCCCCTTTCTCTCGAGAAACTTCTGTTTTCACCGAGTTTAATTTAATTGTATGGAAAAGGTTGGAAGTTGGTGTAGGGCCATTTAAAGTGATTGACATGAATGTTGAATTCCTAGGTTGATAGGAGACACTAATTTATTAGTTGTTTTTTATTTTGAAATGAAACGATGATTAGAATACTTGAAGTATGATCCTGGTGAATCATCTGATGATGTATTTAGATATCAGATTTAATTGTTTAATAATAAAACACAGAACTTTCAAAGATTATAATTGGTATATATCAATTGTTGCTTTTTTTAGAATTCTTAAATTTTTAATCAAATTGAACAACCAAATTTCTCTTATTTTAAATAAGCCTATGAAATGATCAATCAGTTAACATCATCCAATTAAATCAAGATTTTCTTAACCAAGAAACTGTTCAGATGATTAAAAAGGGATTTTGAGCTCTTTTGATCGTATGTGTTTTTCTAGAATTGGATATTATAGTCTAATAATCTAACATAATAATACTCAATAAATAAAAGTAAACCTTTTATTTTGAAATAATTGATGTTGCAATTTTTTTACTCCTAATAATTTGTCTTGACTTTTGAGACTAGAAAGTTCTGTTTTTAAATAGTATAAAGTCGATCACATTAGAGACTTGAAGAAGCCCACTTGCCAATAAAGAAACGTACGTGGTTTTCCTTTTTGGAAAATAAAAGAAATAAAAGTATGATGCAACTTGAATATGCAGCTATCAATCCGCAAGTTGCGAACAAGCTACAAATGCATCTGATTTAGACACTCCTCACATTACCCAAAATCATGTTCATATGAAAAACTGTTGTTAATTGATCGGGTAAAAATATAACTTTTAATTAAAACATAAACTAGTTTATTGTAAATTGTTGTTTGTTAAAACCATAGTTACTAGGATCGCTCCCCCCTCACGTTTTCCGTTCCAGATCGCACGATCCGGAATCGGAAACAGTAGCGATCCAATCGCCTAACAGATCGTAATGCAATTGCAAAATAGGCCGATCCCAAATCACTTAAAATTCAATCCTGTATCAGTGTGGAACGCGATTTCCATTGATTGAATCCGACGACCCATCAATTTCTGGAACATGATTATGAAAATTGCAGATTTAAAAAAAAAAAAAGCATCGGCAAGTGAAAAATTGGTTCTAGACTTGGGAACCCAAACTGCTAAAAAGAAAAGAATGATCATTACGTATGGGGAACCCAAAATCAATCACCCAATCCTTTTTTATCACTCTATTTCACAACATCAGGATCCTAATTCGTCATTGTACTGTTCTACATCTTCAAAATTTCAGTCCTCCATTTTTTAAGTTCTTCGTTTCTTATAGTATACTTTTATAATTGAAGTATTGATCTTTTGGTGTTTAGTATATTTTTATATTATATTATTATATATTTTTGTAATATATGGTACATCGTACCAAAGTACATGGTACAACGTTCCACGTACCGAAATTACGTTCCGGAGAAGACTACCCCCCTCGTACAAAATTTTATAGATTACCGATCCTCGGTCCCGTTTTCGTTCCACGTACCGGAACGATCCCGTTTCCATGTAACTATGGTTAAAACCACAAAAATAACTTGTTTATAAACTAGCTTATAAGCTAGTTTTTTATAACTATTTTGAAATAGATTTAAAGAAGCTTATAGAGTTTTTTCAAAAATATTTCAAATATGTCATTAGTTATATATAATGCTAGTTTTTAATTATGTATCTAAATGTGTATTTATGTCATTTTACATTTATAATCTAACTTATCAACTATTTTTTACCAAACATTATCAATTCATAAGTTAACTTATCAATTACCAGCTAGTTTTTCAGCTAGTCTGACAAACTGAACGGATCCTTAAAAGTAGAAGTAAAATGATATTTCAGCTTCTTAGCATATACAGAATTTCTTGAGTAGTCTAGATCTTACATGCTCTATTATTTTTATAAAAGAAGGAAACAATATATCAATATGTATTGTCCAGCCTCTATCAATCCACCTGTCATGTTAATTGTTATGCTTGCTGAAGTGACTACTAATGCATAAGGTACTTCAGAAGGCATATCTGCGGATATGGAGTATATAATTTTGCATTTCATAATCCCCCCCCCCCCCCTTCATTTTCTTTGTAGTATGGAGTATATATAAGCTTTGTTGAATGATATTAATTAATGCAGTTGAAAAAAAATCAGCAACCTCGTTGAACCTATTGATTTACACAACTGAAGTTAACTACTCAAAAACCATCAACTGCTGAAAGGAAATAGTTGGCCTTATTACATAAATGTCCCTCCATATGATATTTCGTATATGAATAATAAGGATCATATATAGCATTCGGAAGAATCCAGAAAAAAAAATTCGTTTTCGATAAAAATAAAATAATGAATCAAGGATCACAAGAGAGTGGTTAATAATGAAAGAAGAACATGCATGTTTGTGTGAGATAGATGACTGGAGATGAATGTTAGAATACACCTACACTAATGAATTTTCATTTGTATAATTATTTTGAGTAAATTACATAATTGTCTGCATTATGAAAGTTGAAGTCTAATTTTTTTTACCAGGTAAAGCGATGTGGTTGTGTTTTTATTACATGCTACACTCTCATTCATTTTGTCATACGTCATTTTGTGTGGTTATTTTAAATTAACTGTTTTCCACATGTCATTTTATAGTTTTTTTTATTTTATTAAATTCCATATAATATTTATATATAATAATTGCAATAAATCTAATAATAAATTAATATCAATTTTATTAAAGGACTTACCTTCTAATTTCTAAATTTCTAAATTAAAGCATCATTAGTTTCATTTGTTATTTATCTAAATTATTTGTTTAAATTAAAAAAAAAAAAACTTATTTATAATAATTCAATATTTTTTCATTTTTCTTATAAATTCAAACTTTTCAAATATTTAGACCTTCATATTTTTTTTAAATAAACTCATATAGTACATTGGTCTCACAACTAACGTATTTCTATATTTTGATATTGTACAACAGAAAGAGAAATGATGTTTTCCTCGGCTGCATAGTCACGTATGTTGGAGAAGCTGACTCATGGTGACGCCATTGGTCCTCCACAGTGGTGGACGGCAATAGGTGCCAGGAGGGGTCATGGACCCCCGACTTTTAAGCTTCCTAATACCTTTATATATTGTTTATTTATGGATAAATCTAATAATCAATTCAAATGGATAATTAGGCCTCCTGTTCTAAGGTTGAAGTATAATAAATAAAATCTAGCTATAGAATGTAAATAACTAAGTAACTAAACATTTGGAAATCACCGATAAAATCTAAAAACACATTGATCAATAGGAAATTAAGAAAACTAGAAATTTATTTTTTAAACCCCGTAAAAAAGTTAAAAATCTAATCAGATTTACATAAATTCTTAACTTAATCTTTGACCTCAAGAAAAAAAAAAACAAAAAATATCTTCCGGCAAAATGTTGAGTGAGGTGTTGACTGGGTTCTTAACGGTCAGTGGGATGATGACAATGTGACTTTAAGCCCATTGGATGTTGGATGGGAGTTTTCATGTGTATGGTTGGTCAGTAGTTGTATAGTGGAGATTCGTGTATTATTTTGTTTAACGTATGTCGCAGACGGGTATTGAGCATTATAGTGTTGTCAATGGGGGGCTTAGTGACCGGCGAGTTGGGTCGGGCAGTGATTGTTAGATTACATGTTTAAGCAAATAACTGAATTAATATAATCTTGAATTATTAGCAAAGTCCATTTTGGTTGCCCTCAAACCTAGTAATTGAATAGGATGACTTTTAGAGAGAGAGAGAGAGAGAGAGTGATTTATTGATTTATTATATGATTAATAAATAGCAATAAATGAATTTATTAATATGTTATGGAAATAATATATAAATTAGAAATAGTAATATTTAATTAATAATTAATCAGAAATTAATTTAAATGATTATAGGATTAATTGTATTAATTAAAATAACAAGGGTTAAAGTGCAACTGTTCAATAGTTGAACAAGAAAGAGTCAATAACCTTCCTTGGAAGGAGATGGTCGAATTCTAGGTTATTCCAATGCATCTGGAATATTCTTTGCAGATATATAGGAAGCTGGATAATTACCAAATTGAATAAATATTATTTTATTCATTTAGGGTTATCTAGGGTTTCCAAGTTGCACTATATAAAGACCCCTAGCCTTCAATTTTCGGTTACCACTTGATTCTAAGAGCCAAGGCCGAAAATCATACCCTCTCTCCTCTTTCAAAAGCTTCTTGTTGCTAGTATTGGGTGTGAACCATCCGAGGCACGACACTTGTGGTGCTAGCTTCCAAGTTATTGAAGTAAGGATTCTTGATTGTTTACTACAACAATTAAAAGGTATGTTGTTCCTTCTATAATTTTTGAAATTACCTAGGGTTAGAGTGTTCTTGTTGTTCAATATAATTTTACATCAGTAGTGTTATGACTTAGATCTTTAGGTTGCATGTGATGGGTTTCTAGCATAACAACAACCTATGTGTACATGCAACCCTAATTGCTTTGGATCTAAGTTTTTCACTAGTTGAACATGCAATTGAATACCAAAGCAATAAACCCTAGATCTAGCATACAGTTTCGAAAATTATATAACAAAAGGGTTTTGATGTTTACCTTGCTTGTTATGTAGTAATAACAAGAACTCCTTGTAGATCCTTGACTCTTGAAAGCTTAGTGCCTCAAATGTTGCACCTCTGATGGCTCACAAACACCACTAGCAAGAGGATGAGAGGAGAGAGGAGGGAAGCACTTAGAATTTCGGCTAGGGTTTCTTTTAGCAAGTAATCACCGAAAATCCTAAGCCTATGGGGTCTTT